GGAATCAACTTAAGTGCCCATCACTAGATAACTAGATAAAGAAAATGTAGAATATATATACAGTGGAATACCATACAATCCTAAAAAATCAAATCATGTCTTCTGTAGCAACACAAATGGAATTGGAGACCATTACCTTAAAGTGAAACAACTTAGCCACAGAAAGGCAGATCTCTCATGTTCTCACTTTTAAGAAGGAGGTAAATAATGTGTACACATGGAGTACATGGAGCACACATGGAATACATGGAGTACTACACATGGATTACACATGGAGTACATGGCATGGAGTGGCATAAAAAACAATGGAGACCCAGAAGAATGGGAGGTAAGAGTGGGTGAATGATGAGAAATTACTCAATAGTACAATCTATGTTATTCAAGAGATGGATACCCTAGAAGCCCTGACTTTACCACTGTGCAATATACTCATTTAACAAAATTATACTTTACCCCCTACATTTTTGCAAATAACTCCCCCCCAAGCATAAAACCAAAATCCTTCCCTCAGGTCTACACTGATCTCAAGCCCCCACCACTTCTCTATTATTCTATTCCAAACCCTTCAAAAGAAAAATCAGTATATATTTAGGCTCTTCATTTTAGTATAGTCTTTAAAAAAATTCCTGCAATAAACATTCCAGTAGTTTTACCCAACAGGATTTAATGAAATAGACTATTAGATTGTGCGGCATAATCTCCTCTCTCAAATGGTAACAGGCAAATGTTATTTAGATACTGTGCTACAAATACTTAAAATAGCTGTGGAATATTCTATCTAAATAAGATTGTATCAGGAACTTGACCTCACAGAACATATGAAATGAAGTCCTGTTTAAGCTCTCTTGAGGGACTAGAGTCCCCGGCTTTTATTAGCTTTTTGCTTAATAGCTCCTCACTCTCCTTTTCATCTGGTCCCTCCCCATTGGAGTTTCCTGAAAGAAACTTTACTTTAAGCTTTAAAGAATCCTTTCTATTTTAAAGGATTTAAAAGGGAGTCTAATGTTTTGTGTCATGAACATAAAAAATAAAGGCTTCCTGTATTGTACCTTGACAACTCAGCCCATCAGAAGTTCTTCGAAAGCCAGTTCCACAACGGACCACACAGTGATAGGACCCAATAGTATTGTCACAGTCCTGACCACCGTGGCAGGTGTGTCCACCCAAAGCACACTCATCAATATCTGTAACAGAGAATCATTCAAGTGGGGTGAGTCAAAGGAAATCTAACCTAAGAGCCTGTGGGAAATAAGGGATAGGAAAAGCAATGAATGACGCCTGTAAAACAGAAAAGAGCAGGCAGCGCCTGTGGCTCAGAGGAGTAGGGTGCTGACCCTATATGCCAAAGGTGGTGCGTTCAAGCCAGTCCTGGCCAAAAACTGCAAAAAAAAAAAAAAAAAAAAAAAAAAGCGCTAAAAGGATTAGATTTTTTGTGTTGAGTCTTTTCAGGTGGGTTAACTAGCTGGCAAATTCACAGCAGCATGCTGGGATATCTTCATCGACTGACCAATTGGTTAGACCCCTTATATAAACCAGGTGGATTTTACAGTAACTTCTTTCTGAGGGGTGACTGAGTCACCC